GAAGCCATATTAAAACCAATTGTCAAAGTATACTAAATATTAAAAATTATTAATATTTTATATAGAAATTCATAACTGAGTTAATTCAATAAATTTAATATCTCTAGGCTTGGGAAAATTTTTTCAAAATTATTATGGGTTAGACTAGGCTTAAAAAATATTTCTCAAAATTAATATTGGCTTGGTTTTCAAAAAGGGATTGAAATGGGCTTGAGAAAATCTTTTTAAATTATTAAGATCTTGGATGCTTGGAAATTTTTTCCAAATATGGTAGGCTTGTACCTATATTGGGATTTTTTAATGTTAAATGTTAGTCTTATGTTAATATTTTTATAAAGTATTATATTTTACCCGTAGACTAATTGGTAAATCAGAGATTTCTCCTTTATTAATTATAAATTTAATATCGCTAGGCTTGGTTACAAAATTATTAGGGATTGAGGTGGGCTTGAGAAAATCCTTTTAAATTATTAAGATCTTGGATGCTTGGATATTTTTTCCAGATATTGTAGGCTTGAACCTAGATTGGGATTTTTTAATGTTAAATGTTAGTCTTATGTTAATATTTTTATAAAGATATATATTTTAACTCAAAGAATAGTTTTCAGTAACATACAAAATGAAGACTGACTTTGCTATGCCGACAACATATGTATCCCTACTAAAGATTTCACTAACATTCATTATTTTAACAACAGTCAAATAATATGAAAAAAATCAAAATAAAATACTAAAATTCTCTTTTCCTTTTTTCCCTTTTAATTTCTTTTACTATCTTCCCATTTCTCATCATTTCCCTTTCCTATCTTGACTTTTTAATTTCCTTTTTCTTTATCTTTACCTTCCTTTCCCTTTTAATTTCCCTATTTTCTTTATAATTTTCTCTTAAATCCCTACCTCAGGCTACATACTCCAGCCGAAGGCTGGGCTTGTCAAAAAATATATATCATTCAATTCTTAATTCAACTCATATTCAAGCAAAAAAATTATACTGGGTCATATGACGTGAAGCTTAATAAAATCTACCAAATGCAAAATAAAGTTATTCATCTATATATACTAAAAATTCTTATACTTTTCATTTTAGAATCTATTTTAGCTTCTTATGGATGATATTCCCACTATTTTTAGAGAGGTTAACCATCCCTGCTGATTATTTTGTAACGCATAAAAAAATATACATAGTACATTATTTTTATTATAAATAGTTTTATATATGATTTTATATCTATTCCAAAAAATCGAATATTTTTTTATAATTTAAATAAATTTATATTATTTTAAGCATCCTACGTATTTTTAAGGCTATCCATTTTCTCGGGCCGCACAATATACCCTTTTATCTCTGATGAATATTTTGTCTAACTAAAAATTATACAAAATACATTTTTAAAATTTAACTAAATTAATATAACAATTTTTAAGGATCCTACTTTTTTAAAAGCTTACCATTTTGTCTATTATTCCTGCTGATTATTTTGTATAATGCTCAAAAAAATATACATAGTATATTATTATATATGATTTTATATCTATTCTAAAAAATCATTATATATGACAATATTTATTTTTATTCAATTAAAATTATATATTTATTCTTAAGGTTCCTACCTTTTTTAACAATACTTCTTTTTATTCTTTCAATAAAAAATAATAAACGGGGTTTTCTATTTTTATGATTTTATATTTATTCCAAAAAAAAATACATATTACGGTATTTATATATTATTTAAATTATTCTATATTTATTCACAAGGATCCTATTTTTTATTTTTAAATTTGCCAATTGATCTCTCCAAATGGTATTTTATTTTATTCCTACCTTATAAATTTAACTTGAGAATTATTTTATTTTTACTTTATAAAACTATCCCCATCTTATTTCCTCTTTAGAATTGTTCAAATATTGATATATCAGCCATTAATAATGCACAAATGCAAAATAAACCTTTAGAATATTATAATAGGCTTGATAAGCCCCCACCCCCAAAAAAAAATTTTTTTTTTTTTGATGATATCCCTCCAATTACTAGATATATGTATCTAATATTGACCCATCTACTGGTTTACAGAATTTTAATGTTCGTTTTATTTCAATAATAATGCTTATTTATATTTTTGACTGATTTCTTTATTTGTCTAGGTTAACCCATAGCCATTAATAATGCACAAATACCTTTAATATCATAATAGGCATGATAAGTCCCCCCCCCCCTCCCCCTCCAAAAATTTATTTTTTTGATGATATCCCTCCAACTACTATATATATGCATCTAATATTGACCCATCTACTGGTTTACAGAATTTTAATGTTCGTTTTATTTCAATAATAATGTTTATTTATATTTTTGCCTGATTTCTTTATTTGTCTAGGTTAACCCAACCTTAATCCCTCACATTGCTACAAAACATGATGAATCTATTAAAGATAAGCAAAAAAAATAATGGAATAAACAAACGCCTTGCCCGTTCTAGAGTTACTGGTAGCCAAAATAATAAAAAACTACGCTTGAAATTAACTCCTCTGGAGGTTTATTTATTTTTTTTTATCTTATGTTTTATATTTATATGTTTATTTTATTTTCACCCAGTTGCCTCCAAATGATATTTCCATCACCACTACCACAATCCCTATGCCACCTCTGCCTATTTTTTAAACAAATATAAGCATTAAATTCCGTACTATCATTCACTTCACTAATTATAAATATTACTTTATCCGATTCTCTGAGAAACTTTCATGATTATTTAGAGGAATGTTCAAACTTGAATGTGTAGTACGGCCATTTTCATCAACTTTATTAATGGACAAATATGCAGTAGTTCTGTCGTGGCCTTTATAACAATTCTTACTACCTTTTTATGGTTGAGTTAACATTGTCGTTCATGATTCTATTTAAGAGGGGGCTACCAATTCTGACATAAACAGACATTTTGCGTTCTTCTTTTACTAGTATCCCAAGGCATCCGTTATTACTTTCATCTACAACCCCAAATGATATGAAATTGTACATTAATTATTTCCTTTCCAGACAACCTTCCATATTTATTTTGTCGCATTTCCATCAAAAATTAAAATGTCAACAAGGATTTGCTCTTAATTTTATCAAATACACAACATAATAATTATTCCTCATTATTTTTAAAAAAAATTAGCCTAAATTTATATGTCAATAAAAAATATTTTCTTAAAAAATATTTTCTTAAAAAATATATATATATAATTAGCATATAAGTTTCATTAGTGTTTAATGGCATTTTTGTTATTTAAATAGATAGCATTTTTTTTACTTAACATAAAATATAGACAAATAATTTGGGAAATGCAAGACATACATTAAATTTATCCGAAAAGCTACAATAACCCTATATAATAAACAACAATTTATTTTTTATATATAACTATAATTGATCATATTACCAAAAAGTATAAGAGTCGGTTATTTTTATTTTATTTGTCATGATTCTCTAATAAGTGGTTTTCCCAGGCTTTCCCAGTTTCCCTTAATACGAATTCACATGTTTTTTTTTAAAATCTTGAACTAATTGGTAAATCAGATATATCCCCTTCATGTGGTTATAATTCAATTAAAAATTTAACTATCTCCGTTGGAAAAAATTTTCAAAATTATATTGGATACGACTGGGCTTGGAACCTCAAAATTTATATTAGCTTGCACCTGACATGGGAATATCTTTAACAAATTATTAAGGGTTGAGCTGGGCTGGTTAATAATTATATGCTTCCTAATATTGTGAGCTTGGACCTGGCATGACATCTATCGTAAAAAATGAATAAAAATCTCATTCCCCGTCATTTTTGACGGGCTTTCATCTAGTATCAATAATAATCAAGTGCATATTAATGGGAAAAATCTTATTTTAGTTATTCAAAATAATTTGTAATATTTTCTTATAATATTATTTAAATATATATTAGATATTATATTTAATATAAGGAATGTCATTGGCCCATAAAGGGGTGACATGTCCTAATATAGTTTGGGCAATAATTTTGAAAAAAAATTGATTATAATTTGAATTTGTTTTATGAAAAAGATATCATGTATATAATTTATATATATATATATTAAATAAAATAAAGTTTATTGAAGTTTTTGATTATTAAAAAAAATAAAGTGTATTTTAGTTTTGGAGAATTTTTAAGAATATATATAATTTTTTATATTAAATTTTTAAGAAAAGATATAACTTTTAAAACTATCTCTATCATGAACATTTTAATTTCGAAAATTAGATTTATAATCAGATTCTTAAATATTAATTTCAAGATTAAATAAAATAACAAGATTACGATTTTAGAATTATATATTCCGATAATTTATATTATTTAAAAAAGTAAAACGCTAAAGCTACCGCTATTAAAAAAAGTAGCTATTTAGTATAAAAATATTGTAGAATTGTATGAAACACATAAACATAGTTAACATAAAATAGGAGGTTACCCAAAAACCCAAGATCAAAGAATTTAAAAATCTCAGGCATTTTCCTATAGGGAGGGGGAGCGTAGTGTTCCTCTATAAATTTTTCTGGAGATCATTAGGGGAACTGAACTTTGGCTGCTGATTTTTATAAATATTTTTAGGATTTCATTTATTTTTTTAAAAATGCGCCTTTTCTAAAAGTTTTGAATTATAATCATATTTTAAAAATGTTAACTTTTAACTATTTTCTTTCAAATTATTAATAGTGATATATATTTTACATTTTCTTAGGAGGAGGGGAGTGTGTTGGAGTTTAATTTTTACTAACGTAGAATAATATCTATGAGAACAAGCATACAGATAGGGTAGCAAATTTAACACTTTCCCACTTCGTTACCGCTCATAGGTAAATTTTGTTATTGTTTAATAAATTGCTATACATATTTTTAAACTCTTAATTGGTTATAATATTTTGAGAATGCTATAATGTGATTTGCTAGGACAGTCATTGTTTAGTAAATTTATAGATTTTTTTAAAACTCTTAATGGGTAAGATATAATTCCAATTTGCACACAGCTGTAATGAGTGTTATTATGTTGTAAACTAAAATAATGAATGGATTAATAACTAATTATTATCACAAATACCAAAAAATAACTCAGGAAGATGAGAACATTCCTGATGTTATACCTGCAAAAGAATTTTCTTTAAATCAAGCAAATGATATTAATTTTTTTAATGATATGAATCATAGACAAATACAACAGGTTATATTTATAAATCCATCCACCAAAATTGTTAATATTATAACATAGCATAAAATTAACGCCCAAAATGAACAACTTGAAAAAATTGGAGGCAGTATCAAAGTTTTAAAAGACATGAGCCACCAGATAAGTGGTGAATTGGATCATCAATCTGTGTAAAATATTTTTTAATATAGTTAATTATAGCTTGGAGGAGAAGGCTAATTTTATTTATATTTCACAAAGACTTATATTCAGGGGTGGTTAAATGACTCTAATTTAATATAATACAACTAGTGGTTTATTGCTTAAAAACTTGGGGGAGGGGGGGGATACAATTTATTATATATATTATCAAAAGTAAGACATAAAGTCACTTTTTTTTTATTAAATCAAGCCCAAAATATTTTAATTTTTTTAAAACTTTCATGAAATCTATAAAAAGTTTATCAAAAAGCTAATATAAGGTATTTAGGTCATATAAAATAATAATTGAATGAAAATATACCTGATAGTGAAGGATATTTATGATTTATATTTTATTATAACAAGTTTATACAGAATATAATTGGAATGTATGTTCAATACAATAACATACAAACTATTTCTAGAATGTTTATTTAATCAGTAAATTTTTTATAAAGATAGTGTAAACCAATGACATTACATGAATATTAAAATGTGAATTAATGGTAAAAAATTAAAATAAACAATTTTTAAATCAATTTTTAAATTGTTTATCATTACTTACCAATAAATATGGCATTTAAAAAAATGCTTTCCAATAGCATCCTTTACAGCCAATGACATTTATTATAGCAGACTTTATATCTACATTTTTAATAAATGAAATAATCAATATAGGTTAATATTAATTAAAACAACCTATTTGGTTTTTTTTATTAACTACAAATGAAAATAATCTCTTAATTATAACCAGGGTTGCCAAGCCAAAATTTTCAAATTGCAGGAGAAATTTGGTATTTTGCGGGGGAAATATGAAATTTGCAGTGGAAATATAAAATTGCATAAAAATTTTTTTTTTCGGGTCTTAGTTATTCACCTATTATTTTTTATAATTACTTTATAAATACAAAGTCGGTAATAAGTAGCTATTTTTCAAATGAGACAAAATTTTTTTAAATACTATCTTTATTATTAAAATAACATCTTGATTTATTAAAATATAATTTTATAAAAAAAACCAATGATCTTTTTTAAATATAAGGATGTAATAAAATTTAAAAAACGATTTTAATTTTACAATGTAAAAATTATATTTATTTTATGTGAATGTATAAATAAGTTTATAATATATAAAAAAATATGGAAAATTAAATAGAGTTATAATGTTAATTATATATTAAATGGAACTAAATGTTTACCGCCGTTATTAAGATATTTATAAAATTCCTGGCATGACATATTCTAATTTTGTTTAACCATTAGCTCAGCCTATAAGATTGTTTGAGCAATCCGATTTCTCTTCTTTCTCCAGGCAGTCCTCATCAGGCTAGAAATGCGCTATGATGAGGCATTAAAATGAAGTAAGGTTAAAACATGCATATTTTTCCCAAGCACGGGGAATTATTTTTAGACCATCTAACTTTAAGTATTCTGGCGAATCATAAAAAATTAGTGCTGTGAAGTAACGTCGTTACGTTACCTCCTTCTAGAGGTGAGTAACATAATGGTAACGCGTTTCTTTTTTTGAGACTTAATACAAAAAAAAAACATATTTTATTGCATTATAAAATTTTTTTTATTTATTTTTTAATTCTTAATATAAATAATTTAAGCCGAGTTTTAATTCATATCAATCACTTCCTTCATTTTTATTTTAAATTCTCGTTGTTAAATTTTCTGTCGAAATTAATATTCAATCAAAATTCAAAGTAAATGTTAATAATGATATTAATATTCTTATAATTTATTTTAAGAATATTATGTCCATAGTACTTACTTCTTCAGATGAAGATGATTTAACCCTTCCCTGACCCTAATTTGAAATATATTTTAAACCAATAAAGACAATTAATGGTACCAAGTCTACACTTTGTAAATGTAAATTATATCCCAACACAAATATTTCAACTTCAATGTCCAGCAGTTCAAACTTAAAAAAGCATTTTAGGTAAAAAGATAAATTAATATATCATTATTTTAAACATTACTTTAATAATAGAATAATATTCTTATATTTTGAAAAGCTTAATCATGGAATTAAAATATAAGTAGGGTTGTATCGATATTAAATATCGAATCGGATCAACACCGATATTTAGCGTTTTCCAAAAAGGGCCGATACCTGTAAAAACCGATCCGATCTTTTTATTTTCTTCTTTTTGATATTTTATGTTATGTATATTTATTTTACATTATTATATTTTATAAATAATTTTTTTTAACAATGCAAATGCACAACACCCTCTAAATTTTATTCTTTTTAAATTAGATTTATAGTATTTAAAATTTTTTTTTTATTAAAATTGAAAGGAACACCCAAAGTTTTAATTATTTTAAATCTTTTTAAATAATAACTCCAATTTTATTATTTATACTTTAAATAAAAGAATATTTTTAAATATGGTATCTGAATTATGGAAATATTTTACAAAAGACAAAGATAATTTTGCAAAATGCGTTATCTGAGGAATCATCTGTATTACCTTCAGTACGGCAAGGGATATAGATACTCCATATCGTAGAAGCTTATTACCAAAAAATTTAGAGGCTCTCGTCTTTATTAAAACAATTTAATATATTATAATTTAATATATTAAATACAATTTTATAATTCATACCAACCTAAAATGGATATATTATCAAATATATGTTTTTTAATTTATAGTCTTAATTGTAGAAATAAAAAAAATTAAATTAAATGCATAATTTGATTTTTTGCATAAAAAATATTGATTTCATAATTACATTTGGTTCAAAGGGGGTGGTGAAAAATTAATATAAATATCGGATCGGGTTTGAAGCAATATCGGATCGGTGAAAAATATGTGGATTGGCACAGCCCTAAATATAGGCAATTAAATTATACTGTACTGGGCTGGGGACCAACATTAAAAACCCTAGATTAACAAAATATTGGTTTTGGTTCAAAGTATTATATTGAGTTTTTTATATCTTCTATTTCTTGTTTTAGTATTGCTATTGGTTTGATTATAATTGTTAATAAATTTAAAGAATAAAAAATAGTGATTTTAAAAAACTTTGTTTAAATAATATATATATATGAAATAGTGGCGTAACCAGAATTTATCCAATAACAAAATTTGACAGAGAATTTCATTATAGATTTTATTTATTATTAAAATACTATATATAACATCTCTTTATTTAACCAGCTGTGTTGAGCACTAAGCGCTCTTGTTTGTCTGATCAAAATTTTGAAATCAATTGTTGCGAAAAAATTATAATTTTATTTATATTATAATTAAATAATATATTTTTTTATAAAACGATCTTATATATTCTTTTTGTATAGTTTTATTTTATTATATATTGTCAGAAAAAATAATATTATTTTTGTATATATTTAATTTTTTTAAGTAACGAGTAGCCCGTTTCTTTTTTGAAAAGTCGGTAACGCGCGTTCCTTTTATGAAAAGGTAACGAGTAACGGTAACGCGTTCCTTTTTTCAGATGTAACGAGTAACGGTAACCCGTTTCTTTTTTGTGGTAACGTTTACAGCACTATAAAAAATAGAGAGAATTACAATCTCCTCAAACAAAACAACTGTCTATCGATATTTTTAATATATTTATTAAATTTACAAAAACCATCAATTGATGGTTCTGTTCTATGGTCATAATATCTATACATTTGTAAATCGAGTTATTGAAATCAAATTTTGATATCAAATATTCTAAAATTATCTTAATAAAAATATTTGCTTCATTTAAAAATACATTAATTAGAGTAATATTTGAACATTTTAATATGATATTTTTAGCAATAGCCACATAAAATTTATTATTAATTTTTAACTGTAAAGATGAACACAGCTGCAACATAATTTTGTGAATCTTTATTAATAAAGATTATTCTGATTGCAGATGAATATTAACAGCATACAGTAGATTTCCTACATGTAAAACCATTCCTAAATATTCTTCTACCATTTCATCCTCGAAAAAATTTTTCAAAATTTTATGACAGCATTTATAAGCTTTATTTAAGAAGTATTTTTTTAAAAGGTTCGTAAAATTTTAAAATTCTAACGATGACAGGTATTAATGATAGCCATCTGATAGGGGCATGTCACAACAACTCACAATTCCAGATCAGACCACTCCACCAACTCTTTTAATTCATTAACTCTTAGTTGATGAACTAAATTTGTTATAACATTTTATCACAATTACTTCGACATCCACAGATAATACATTCATTGCCTTCTTGCAAGAATTATGTTGGCATATGCAGCCAATTGATATTAAGTTATTATTGTGCTGCCTCAATTTGGTAAATATACTTTGATTTTTGCCAAAATTCACAGAGGCATTATCAGCGCAGAAAGTTGACATGTATTGATAACCCTGATCAGCTATATTTACCATTATGTGGTTAGCGATATGGTTAGACATGTGCGCCGCCAGTAATTTTGACCACGCCGACGCCGCCGCCAAAAAAATGTCGGCGTTCAACACGCCGCCGCCGCCGATAAAAATTTGGCGGCGTGGCGGCATGATACATATTTTTTATTATTATGTATAATATTTATTTTATATATTATTTATGAATTGTAATTAGAAGAAAAATATTAAATATTTTTTGAATTATTAAAAAATGCGATTTTATTTTTTAAAATTAATAAATATTATTTGCTATAAATTTGATTTGTGACAATCCATATTCGCTCACTTTGGGCATGTCTGTGACCAACGTGCTAGATAAAATAAGATTAGGACATTAAATTAGAAAAGGTATTTATATTATTCTATATTTTTCTTTTAATTTTTGATGCTTCAAATAATCTACAACTCGTCATATAAAATTTATTTTTTATCATAATAGGAAATTTTAATTAATGATTTTTATTTTGTTGCCATTATAACATATATAAAAATAGCAGGACTAAAACAATTATAATGGATGCAGCATTGTAATACCCTGTAACAAAATATAATGTATCCTTGCAAGCAAAGCCTTCTTTTGCAT